AAAAGTCATATTTCTTATTAAGAAATTAGGATAAAATAAAAATAAAACATCACAGGGGCCTTAACCCTCTTCGTATCATTGATGACAGATGACAAAGCGTTTTTTTTCAATGCATATTGGCAAAGATTCAACATTTTATTTGCATGCTTGCAATATTTTAAGGATATTTTAACGATGTTGGGGAGATAGCTCATTATACAAGTTAATTCTATAGAATATTCTCACTACGATGACACAGGACGGTGGTCTTTTAGATTGTCTTTAGAAAACGAAAGAAGAACATCTGAAAACACAACCAAGCAGAACTTTCTCAGGATGTTTTCATAACAAAACAAACATTCTCGCGAGGTTTTCACTTTTAATTTTCTGTTTATTTTTACGTCTCTGTTAATTGCAAACACCAGCTAGCTACAAATCACCCATCCTGTTCCATTTCCCTTCATCATCCACAACCCCCCCAGACCATCCCGTCCAATTGACCATCTTTATCAGGTAGATTTTGCACTTGGTTAACTGACCAATTTCCCGTTTAAACGAGATTAGCAACTTGGCAGATGCGTTCCTCCGCTCTGCAGCACAGACAACGGCGCTCTGGCACCCAGATATTTCTGTGGTTGTTTCCTGGCGGTGCTTCAGGTTGGGAAAAACAATAATGTGATTCAGAGCTTAAGAAGAATAGACGCAAATTATTAATTGAATTGAGCAAGACGGACATAAAATATGGATGCTTCACAGTATAATTGTCTGGCTTTATCACAAAAGCTGCATTGTTTAGTCTAATACAGCAATTATGGTTTCATGTGACTAAACATGATCAAATAAGCAAATGAAAACGGCGTGTTCTTGAAACAAGTACGGCCAACATTTGCTGGAATGCAAGGCTGTGCTTGAACAGGATCCTTAGAAACTGTTAAGCAGAGGTTCAAACACACTCTTGGCAGATGTTTTGCAGACCTATTGTGTTTTGGGTTTTGAAAAAGAGTTTTGCAATCTGACCAATCTGCATGTTATAAATAAAGCTGGCACCACAAAATACATCCATCAACTAATGCGTCCTAAATGCTCCATTTTCATAAGAACAAAGAGATGTGACGCACGCTGATCACTGTTGTTGTTGCTGCAAAATGAAACACCTACAAAGACACTGCGTAGCATCACACGGGGTCTAGTAGCTCATGTGATGTCAGCTCCTGAGTGACGTTTGCGTGATGTCGTCTGTTTTGCCGACCAGAATGTGAAGACGGATGTGCTCCAAATTGGGTCAAAGACAAGCAGGAGGTTTGTGTCCTTTGTGGGAGCAACAGACTTAACCGAGGTGTACATACAGTATTTCTTATAAGGGGTTATCATGAGAGGGAGATCTAATCGGGCCCCAGATCTGGGCTGGAGATTGGGAGTGCGGCCTTGCTGGGCTGGAGGTCAGGGCCTCGGGCTCCTGATGGACTGCTATTGATTGGGGGGAACGTGGCGATACAGTTGCAGTCGCTCAGCATTGATTTTCTGCAAGTGCAGTAGTGGAGAGCCGGCAGAATGAGAGAGCCGGACCAGAGGGAGCTGCCAGGTTATCTTCTCAAATATCCGGAAGTTCTCTCTTTTTTTTTTTTTTCCCTTCTTTGTGGCACTGACCTTCCCTGACTCAAAGAGATATATCTATTTAGACATTAGCTCAGCAGCTACTCTAGACAGACTGTTTCAGCAGCTTCAGCAGTGTTTTCCTGTGCTTATCTTACAATACACTTAACCAATTAAAAGATCCAATTCAGCTCTGTCAATAACAAGACCAGGCAGTCAGTAGTTGCTCAGAGGTAAATGTAACCTTTTTCGCTAAGACCTGGGACCCGGATGCAAGATCCTTTAGTTGGATACATTACTTATTCCCTGTTTATTCCTTTTAAAATAAAAAACATCTATTTTTATGTTTATATGCACATGGCACACGTGTATGTGTATATGTATAGATATGTAATAATATACACGTGTCTGTGTATATGGACTTTTCTTATTTATCGTGTCCTCCAGTTTATAGATGCTCACATCTTCTTCCCCTCTCATCCCTTTTAGACGCTACTTGAAATAGATATTCATATAACCGACAGATGGTATGATTACCTCTGGACCTAATGTGTTCCTACTTTGTTCTGTTTGCATTCAGTGAAACTAATAAAAAAGAGTTTGTTTTTTTTTAAAAAACTGAATTTTCTAGGGTGATATTACATTAATATTGTGAAACTAAAAATAAAAGTGTTGCAAGTTAACCATGTAAAATCTGTGGAAAAAAAAAACTAAATATAAATCAACTGTTTTTCAAAACCTACGACAGTGATTTTAGATGTTCTTTAATATGTTATCCGTACCTTCTGAGCAGCTCAGAGCTGCAATGCCCCAATGCTGTGATTAATAACTTGCAAGATCTTGAAATTTGAGCTGGAAAACTATCACAGTGAAGATGAGATGAGTGAGATGTCAGCAAGTGGCAAAACTGCAGAATGGCTGCAAAGTGGCAATGTTTGAGAGCGGTATATATCTTTTTATTTTTAATTTTTTTGGAGAGAAATGAAAACATATGCACTCAAGAAAATAAAAAATTGCAGTTTTGCAGTTTTTAAAAGCAGTTTGAACTTTGAATCTATCTCACTGTGCACAAGAGAGTTTTACCTATAACTCTGAATTCCTAAAACCTCATCTTTGTGTAGCATATTTAAAAGTTTTCTCTATGAAAATCAGCCTTTCCTGCCTTAAATGGCTCAAGTCCTCGCTTCTCTCTCCATGCAACACTCCTCAATCGCTGCAACTCGAGCACACCAGCTAACCTACAGGCTGTCTATAAAAGATGGACGCAGCTTCTTGCTCTGGAAAGTAAAACTGGTGCAGAAGTATTTTTTAACATGCATTCTTCCTAACAGCCAGCAGGGGGCGACTCCTTGGGTCGCATAAAGAAATCACATTTCATAGAACTCTATTAGAAAGTGCTGCTACTTTTTACTTGATTTGTTCCCACAGTAAACATTTTCCTAATGAGTTTATGGTCTCAGTTTTTGAAATATGGCGTTATGTTTATTTCAGAAATTATGGTTTCATTTTACAATAAAAATAGATGATAAAACAGAGTATTCTGAAGATGCTGGGGCTATCGCTATCATATGTCCATATTTCCTACACCATCAACACCGTAAAACAATCTATGCTAGAACGAGTAATTCAGCCAACGTGTGCAAACAGTAATTCAATTTTAAAGACGTATTATGACACAGGAAGCTGCAGCCTTTAAGTTGACAAGTTACTTCCTTCATTTCAGTCATTTTTGCGCTGCGGTTTCAAGGTGCAAAATGCTCAGTAATGGTGTTGTTTATTACACTCATGATGTCTTCCATCATGTTAAAAAACACAATATATGAACATCTTGTAAAAGACTTGATTATCACCAGAGTGAGTCTTTTAAAAAGTCCTTCAGTAAGTGGATTTGAAATAATATAATTGATTACCTGTCTCGAGCAACTTGGCAATCATCTCCTAATTGATATTCCAACAATTTAAATGAATAGCAGGAAAGAAAAAAAAAATTCCAGTAAGTTCTGTGAATGCGTTCATAAATCTTAAAAAACCTCTGCTATGCTTTGGGAAACGGTCAGCAGTAATGAAAAGTAGATCCATAATTTGTAAGAAATCTGCTAAGACATGCAGAAACACAAACTCCTCTTAGCGTAATTATAATGCATAGACTGCTCGGGGCTTATTATATTTATTGTACATTTACTCCGAGGGCTTTTATATATTTATTTTATTCGGCATGAATTTTAATTAGGACTTCAAACACTTTAGCTCCGTTCGGCCAAAGCAGGGCTTTCCTTTGATCAGGCGTCACTCTCCCATATTTTTCCTCCTCTACGTCTTCCCTTTGGGCAACTTCCTTCTAATTGGCTCAGCGTCGCTCGTCTTGCCTGTCGTCAGCGGCTCTATCTCTGTCTGTCAGTGCAGATGAAAGGATATGAGCTTCCGTGGTTTGTGATGCCTTCTTTTTTCTTTTTTGGGTAGACGGTAAACATTATCACATGTTCTCTATCATGAGTGTTACTGTCGATATATTGCACTAAGAAACCCACATTGCTTTATTTTACATGACCAGCAGGAGACTGTCTGCAGAAAAACATCTTATTTCTGCACCAGAGATGACTCAGGCATTCAGTGGAACATGATTTTGTGTTTTTTTTTCACAATACTTGGTGCTGTCATGTTGTTTTTTTTCTGGAAAATCCATTTTGTCTGTTAAGGTAGAAGAAGCAGTGCTTGTTTGTGCTGTTTATAGAGCTTCTTTCCTGCCTACCTAACCCCTCCCAGGCTTTATTCCTCCCTGGGCTCCCTCTGTCTCTGTCCTGTGTGTTAATGTAGTGAAGTGGCGCATCGGTCAATGAGCTTGTATTAACACCTGACTCCCAGCCCTGGCTGCTGTTTGTTCCTCTACGTGGGGTCCCCTGGGCCCTCCCCCAGGCCGAGGCAACATATCCCTCGATCAATAGCAACATCCTAGAAGGCCGGTGGAGGAGGGGATGGAGGGGGAGAGTCTTTTACATGCTTGCGTAATTTTTTTTTTCTTGCTATGCACCTTCCTCTTCAAACCCCCCCTCTGTTTTCTCAGATATCAGTCGTGTCAGCAAACAGGCCGCCAGTCGATAAGTCGGCCTGTTTATTGGAGCTTTTTTGTCATTCACTTTGGGCGTCTTCTATGGATCTCTCAGATTTTTTAGGTTTGCCATTATTCTCTTGAAGCTGGCACTGTAGTCAATCCTCCCGTGCATTAGCCTCCTCTGCGTTCTCCGCTTCGATCTTGCACTCAGTCTTTACGCTCGTGGCCTAATGTTGGATAGTGCTAGAGTGCATTTAGGAATTATCTGTGGTTTATCTGCCTTGGATCTGCTTCAGACACAATATTCTCTGCCACTGTGTTTGCACTGACTCCTCCTCATCTCTCTCTCTCTCTCTCTCTTTTTGTTTTTGCTCTCTAGGCTCTGGCCATGGCCGAGGTGAACGGGCCAGGCCCCCAGCTGGCCGAGCCCCAGATCGCCATGTTCTGCGGCCGTCAGCTCCTGCACATGAACATACAGACCGGCCAGTGGGAGCCGGATCCTCAGGGCCGCCAGGGCTGCTTCAAAGAGCCCGGCGAAATCCTGTCCTACTGTCAGGAGGTAGGGATCCGAACAACCTGAACAGCTCAAATGAATCAATTCTACACTAACAGCAGAGTTTTAAAAAAAATAATAATCAGACTGAATATTACATGAAGCTGCAGGGAAGTCAAAACTCATGTTCCTTTTCCTGTAATTTGATTTGTCTAACACCTGCCCTATCAGATCTATATATTTAAGTATATATAGTGGAGCGATAGTGGTCTGTTGGAATATTACAATATTCCATTTGTGCCACCATCCACCTCTCCTCCTCTTGTTACCTATTGCTGTATGTGTACTCATTAAGACGTTGCCAGCGGTACACATACTCTCCTCACACTCCTCTTTCACAAATATTAGTTTAAAGTAGAGCAGTAAAGGCAGCCAAGCGCCATCTGGAGGCCAAAGTAGACACAGAGGCAGCCATGAGCTCGAATGGCCTCTAATGCGATTAGCTGAGACATTTTACACAAAGCCTTGTTTGGGTTTTTTTTTTTACTTGATTTTTGTAAAAAGAAAAAGCATTAGTGTGCATCCACTCTCTCTTTTTATGATTACTATCAAATCTGGCTATGAACACACCCTTCAAGTTTAAATATTAACAGCCAGATGTAAATTTTGAAACACTGAATGATTCTAATTTTAGTGCACCTCATCTGATCTAGCCTCTTCTAGTAGTTAGAAAATACGCTGCATGACTTTCTCCCTTGTTAGTCGTCTCCCCACTGACTGTGCTCTCCCTCTTCTTCCTCTTCTTCTTCTTCTTCTTCTTCTTCTTCTCCCCCCTGATCCCGCTACTTCCATTCTACCCTCCGAACCAATTCCTCCCCCGTCCTCCGCTCCTCTTGTCATCGATCCCTCTATTCTGTCCGTCCGCCTGTCTGTATTCTGCGTCTCCGTCCTGCATGTACTCGTGCGTCAGATGTACCCAGCGCTTCCAATCTCCCATATAGAGGAGTCAAAAAGACCCGTCACCATCCCCGCCTGGTGTAAGAAAGGCTGGGGCCACTGCCAGACGCACCCCTTCATAGTCCTGCCCTACCGCTGTCTGGGTAAGAATTTACATTTGCATTTACATTGATTTGCATTTTTCCAGGCTTTGCTTTGTGTTTCCTCAAAGTTGTTGTGGAAAAATACGCTTCACATAATATTTGTAGAATCACTGTGCGCTTCAGGTTTGTGTTGAAAACTAATCACGACTGTGTGTCGAAGCGGAAAACTACATAAATGTGTTCATACACAATAATACATGCAAGATAATCATGGTTTTGGTTGTTTTTTTTCCAATGGTTTAAATTTTAGTCTTTCAGTCCCAGTGCCACAGCTTTAAAAGTCCAACCCCCAAAATCCACCTGCAGGTTTGAAAGTCAAATTATCTTGAAAAACTCACTAGAATTAGGCAATTTATTAGAAGCAGAAACTGTAAAAACAAAAAAGAAATGTCAGGAAGAATCAGGGCTTAAATCTATAATGTGTGACGTGCAGCTCTGCCGGCAAAAATTAACCAAATGTAAGCTTAAAATCGTGATATTTCATTTTATTCCACCTGTTTGAAGGAAAGCTAACAAACAAACAACCATGTGATCGAAGTTGTACCAGAGTTTCATGTCACTTTGAGGAGTAGAATATTATTGGTATCAGCACAGGTCACGATAAAGGAGGACCGAAAGATGGAAGATGCTCCTCAAATAAAATAAAATTAAAAAACTCCTTACCTGGACTATATGAACAAGAAAGGATCTCAGAATTAAAATCTTGGTTTTTCCTGCACTTACAAACCAAAGTACATGTGGGACTATCACTCGTAGAAATGGCATCTAAACATTTATCCCTAAACTGCAATTTAGGAAAAGGTGCTTGTGTTTCATACATGTAGCAAAGCAATTGACAGTTCTACAATGACGTTTCTTGGCACCATCACAATCTGTCTACGCGCTAGAAACACCAAACAAAGAGACACAAAGGCGAGCTGCTCGCTACAAATCGCAGCCGCCCAGAGCGACAGTTTGGCCGAGCTTTAAACCAGGTGCTGTGGTGTCAGGCGCCGCTTGATTGGAGCGCGGCGCTGGAGTACCGGTCCAATCAATCAGAGCAGGAGGCAGGAAGAATAGTGAAAGCAACAGGCTGAGTGGGTCCAAGTGCAGGCGACAATCTGGGAGAGTGTTTAGAGAGAATTCACACACGAAACCAGGACGAGGTTAGTCACATGAAACGTGAACAGAAGCACATCGGCCCAGAACCGGAACAAAGACATGCCAAAACTAAACTGTTTGAACCAGAAGCTGCTAAAAAAAAAATCCTTAGACGCATGAATGACCTCGTTGCGACCAATAGTCACGTGCTAAAAAATTGTTTTCAGGTGAACTGCAGTTCGTAGTAAATTATCTGTTGTATTTTTAGCCACCATTTTATCTTCCAATATGGATCACACCTATGGGCTTGTGGGAAAATGTTGGGCAAACTGATTAAAGAGTAAAATAAAACATACTTGATGAATGAAATGGCTCAAAAACAGCACACGGAGAAGCAAGTTGTTGGAAGATACATTCAGCATGGTGAAGTCATGTGAGAAAAACAAATCCTTGAACTACTCGTGTGTGACGTGACGTTCTGTCAGGAAACTTAGCCTAATCTAAGATTTAAGTTGTGATATTTCATCAGAGTCCTTTATTATATATGTCCTTTTAAAAGATAATCCCAATAATAAAGCCTTTGGTCTTTCTGGATTCTGTTAAAAACAAAAAATTCTGTGCTCCACAGTCTAATCGTTAAGCTTTTAGTGACTCATCTGCCACTATTAGTCACATGGCAAAAATTCAGAGGCTGTGTTTACACAGAGCAGAGAGAAAGCAAGTGTGGAAACAAATAAAAGATGTAGGTAGTAAAATATCTTTAGTATCTAGAGCCACTATTATATTTTCCAATATGGATTTCACCTGTGGGCACATGGAAAAATGTTGTACATACGGATTTCACCTTTTAAAATTTTTAAGAAATGATTAATGCATTCAATTCGACCTTTTTGGGGGGGATTTTTTTTGACTATATAACTGCGTCAAACTGCACAAAAGACATTTTGGAGTGAAGGAGTTTCCACTGCGGACAAAAAATGGACCCACAGCGAATAAAAATGTGACAAAATGAGACGCTCAAAAACTGCTTGAGCATTAGAGGGTTAACTGTAGATAAGTAGTATTTTTTTTAAAAAAAAGTGTAGGCAGTGCAATACACACAAAGCACCATGTAAAGATGAGCAAGTCTGTGCAGAGGTCATGCACGTTAACAGCCACTAGGGGGCCAGATAGACCAACGATGAATGAGTGAATGAATGAATGAGTAATGAACAGAGAGTCTCGTGGTTCAAGAGACGCTTTCCGTCTTCTGCTCCGTACAACTGGCTGTGGCTCATTTGACTTGTGTTGCCCGTTGTATCGGTGAATACTTTCCCTTTGTGCGTGATCGTTAAATAACAGCCTGCAACAGTACCGCTGTACGAAGAACCCGTTTTAAAGGAGTAAAAAAAAACAGTACGCAGGAGGCAACAGGACATGTTTTTGGCTCTTGAAGTCGAGAGAATCGACCGAAATATAAAAACTGCTCATTTCTGTTCACTTTGCCACATAATACAAAGCCCTCATCTGCATTTATGATTTCTGCAATGAATATTTCACAAACGTTTTAAGCAAAGTACATTTTTACTTTACGTCCTCGACTTGCTCGTGTAACTACAGTTTGTCTGTTCCAAGTGCTCGCACATTACACATTTATGCTCTCTGTCAGACCTCATCTATGCACCTTATCTAACTATTCCAGCTCACTATCAGACTTCTAGTTCATCTACTTTCTATGTGTTTTGGGTTTACTTGTTATACTCTTTCATTCATTCCTCGCTACAACGTGTTCACGGTTGATTTTTCATCTGCTTCCATCTACTTCAATCACAGGTTTAACTCTTTTAAACTGCTTTGACGATCTCATGCACTGACTTCCCTTCTTCTTCTTTTTTTTTTTTTTCCCTTCAACCCCGCTCTGCTGCAGAAGGCGAGTACGTGAGCGAGGCCCTGCTGGTGCCCGACCGATGCCGCTTCCTCCACCAAGAGCAGATGGATGCTTGCAAGAGTTACGTGTACTGGCACAACATTGCCAAGGAGGTGAGTAGAGAAGCTGCAGCTCTAAATTCTCGAGACAAGTTTACAATTTTACGTTAAGAGCCAGTGAATAAAGAGTAGAAAGGTGTTCAGACGATATTATGAGACCTTCCAGTGGTGTATTTTGTAAATGTTGACCCATTGTGGATCTAAAACCTCTAATGCAGCTGCCCCTAACAGCAGCAGCAACACCACACTAGAGGTGTGTTGTGTACAATGTCACACTTTGCCAGCAAACAGAGGTGTTTATTGCAGAGCAGAAATGTGACACTTCCAGCAGTAACACTCCTTCACATCACATCCTGTCAACTTTTTCTTTGAAACACAAAAATGCGTTTTTTTATTTTCGAGCTCACTCAATGATAAATTAAATTTAAATCAGAAAACATTGGATTTCCAGCTTTCCGACGGTCTGTGAACTACACGTCAGTGGCGTTCTGTTCCATTGGAAACCAAACCATTAAAAAAATTCAGCAAAAAATAATCTGTTTTCAATAAATGTATTCTGTAAAAATGAAAAAATTCTGCACTCTTCTGTGCAACTGTGAAGCCATTAGTGACTCAGCTGCAACCTACAGTCAGGTGGCAAAAATTCAGGAAATTTATGCCTTAACTGAGCTGAGCTGCAGGCTTATAGAGAGCAGATAGGAGACAAGAATGGAAAGATATTTTTAAAAAAAGTAATAAAATATGTATAGCATGCAGAGCAATCATTTGTATTTGTTAACATTGTTTGGCCCTTGAAAAAATGTGATACAGGTTGATTGCATTTTTTTTCTTCAAATTTTCTAAAATAAATAATCAAAGAAATTCAACTTTAGCCTCTCTTTTTTTTTTTTTTATTTTAAGAATTTATGACAATAAAGTGTGCCATACTGCACAGAATGCATTTTTGAGTTCTCTGTATTTCTAGATACTTGCCCTGTTTCCATAGAGGTGCAGGAATTTTATATTGCAGTAAAAAAAATGAGCCCACTGTGAGTAAAAATGTAATAGGAGCAAAAAAAATGCCCAGAAACTTCTTAGGGTTCAGAGGTTCACTGCTGATTAGTGACACTATGTGAGCACTGCCTTCACAATACTTACAAATCATGTCCTAAATTTGGATACCCTCCGCTCAATCTTCTTTTTTCTGTGTCAGGAATGCACCGCAGACAATCTGGAGCTCCACAGCTACGGGATGCTGCTGCCGTGTGGGGACCACTTCCGGGGCGTTGAATACGTGTGCTGCCCGAGCCGAGGGAGCTCCAGCGGCAAAGGCGAGACTGAGGAGAGAGACATCCCTGCTGGTTCCCAGACACTTCCATCCCAGAAGCTCAACTCCATGTAAGATGATTCAGCTTGACCACATAACAGTTGCTGTAGGAGGGTTTGTTTAAAATATTAATAGTCATGAGACCACCCACTGTTTTTTTTATTTCCCTCACAGCACCAAAGTGACAGCTCCCACTCCGAGTCCCTCTCCGGACACAGATGTGGACGAGGCCGATATGGAAGAGGAGGATGACGAAGTGGTGGAGGAAGAGGAGGAAGAAGAGGAGGAGGAAGTGGATGAGGAGGAGGCGGAGGAAGAGGAGGATGAGGAGGCTATTGCCGTGAAAGATCCCGAGGAGTATGAATACCCCATCGACTCAGGTCCCTACCAGACGTCAGACTATTTGGACTCATTCTACTACGAGAAAAGCCACAAACCCACCACATCTGCACCTCTGATGAAGGGAGACAGCTGTGAGTCGTCCTCGTTTTTTCCTTTCTTTTGTTTGGGAAAAGTCGTTTAGCATCTTTGGTTAGCAACGCAAAAAATGTCAAACTCCTGCAGCATACACCATGCGTTCAAGCGCCTCTTTCTAAATGCAGCGTTACTGTGTGCTTTATTTATTTCCACGTCAGGCTTCCCATCAGTACGAACAAACCACTAACCTCGCTCAATGTGCATTTGTGTGCATGTCAGGTCGATCTGGTGCACTTTCACACCCGCTTCAAGGCCCGAGCAGAGTTCATGCTCATGTGCAGAGTAAATAGAGCAGTCGACCACTTGACACATGAACTTGAATACGAACGAAAATCAGGAGGATAAATCATGACAGCGTCTCGGTGTCTGCGTGGCAAACAGAGCTGAGCACTGGAGGGAAAAGCCAAAGCGTGCTGGTGTCTTATGTTCACAGGTGGTTTGAGGTCGAGTGTGCTATGGTGTTGTCATTTTTGTGGAAAGTACGAGCAAAAGCTCTCATTCTAGTTTATGCTTTTTTTAGAAAATGCTCGTTTTCTTTCTGATTTGTGTAACATTTATTCTTGTCTTGTCTATAAGTCACATAGCAGCTCACTGTTTTCATGGTACAGCTTTTCAATTTGAATAAAAGACAATGCAAGAATATAAACTACAGCCAGGAAAGACTGCTGCACATTTAAACACATTAACACTATAATCAGTAATATAGATTTTGTTTAAATAAATGGCATTAATGGAGAGTAAAGTTTCTTACAGACATGTGAATTGTGAGTAAAAATCATGATCTTACTCGGCGCAGTGACGTTTCCGTATCACTTTCAACGTGTCATAAGTCTGAACCACATGTTGTTGCATTACTGGATAGTCACGCTCTAGCAACAGACTTTGAGTTGTGCAAGACGATCGGATAGGAAATGGCTTCGTGCACATTTCAGCAACAACATTGATCCGAAAACATCACAAAAAGCAAAAGACGGTTTGCGTGTCAAAATTACCTATTACCAACTGAAATGTCCATAAAAATCAGACTTTGCTGCGATGAGACAAAGTCTGTAATTAAGACTTGACTGATAGGAGCTGAAGATGAATTTGCTGCTTCCAGCTGTTTGTAGGAGTCTTTCCTCTGAGTGCAGCATCAGGATCCATTTGAGCGTCTCCAAAGTGAGAGAGTTGCACGAATGTATACACATGGAACAACAGCAGTAACTTCATTCATTACTTGTAGTTGTAAATCATCCCCGACATGGAGACGGGATGGATCAGGATCATAGACTGTATAAAAGATGGACG